CTGCTTATGACCATTTGTCACAATTAAGACCTTGGCAACATCCCTGTGGTCACGTGATCAAAATTCAGGCGCTTGGCAACTGACTCATATTTATGACGTTTGCAGTGTCCCGGGGTCACGTGATTTCCCCCTTTTGCGACCTTCAGATAAGCAAAGTCCAGGGGGAAGCCAGATTTACTTCACAACCATGTGACTAGGGCCCCTCGCTGTCGGAATCTGGTGGCAGCTCCAATGGCTCCTGCTGGGCCACAACATTAATGTAACTCTTGTCCCGCAGAAGTTGTCCGTGGCAAATGAGCTGGGGCCAACTCTCATAGTGTGAGCCCGGATGCCATTTTGGGAGCATCTTCAAGGCTGCCATAGCAAAGCCGGGTGGAGCTGTGGGAATGTGAGGTGTGTGTGTGTGTGTGTGTGTGTGAGGGTAGAGATAGCTGGGGGATGTGTAGCAGTGGTGGGATTCAAAAATGTTTACAACTGCTTCTGTGGGCATGGCAGGGGAAGGATACTGCAAAATCCCCATTCCCTCCCAATCAGCTGGGACTCGGGAGGCAGAGAATAGGTGGGGGCGGGGCCAGCCAGAGGTGGTATTTACCTGTTCTCTGAACTACTCAAAATTTCCGCTACCGGTTCTCCAGAACTGGTCAGAACCTGCTGAATACCACCTCTGGTGTATAGCCAAAATAGCAAGGATGCTCTACCAGTGTTGGAAGGGCGTGGACAAAAGCCAGTTGGGACTGCAACCTGATTGGATCGTTGGACGGACCTGTGACCTGGGAGGCAAGTACTTTGGGTTTTGATTTGGGTGGGGAAAACTCCGGGTCCTTCAGAGTCGGGTTTTCACCAGCTGTGCCAATATGACACCCCAAATAAAATTATGCTTTGAGGAAACGCTAGGCCTCAGAGTTTTGATTGCTTTGGGTTGTTACCATATTTTTCGGACTATAAGATGCACCGGAGTATAAGACGCACCAAGATTATGAAGAGGTAAATTTTAAAAACAAAGTTTTTGCCTTCTACAGCCCCCAGGAGCACTCTGCAGGCCTCCCAAACCCTCTGCACGCCCCGTTTTTTTGTGAAAAAGAGAGCATGCAGGGAGTTTGGGAGGCCTGCAGAGTGCTCCTGGGGGGCTTGAGAGGGCAAAAAACACCCCATTTTTTGTGAAAAACGGGCCCATTTTCTCTTGTTTTTGCCCTCCCTGGCCCCCGGAGCAATTTGCAGGCCTCCCAAACCCGTTGCATGCCTCGTTTTTTGCAAAAAACACGATTCGCTGGGCGGGGTTTCGGGAGGCCAAAAATTGCCGTATTCGGTGTATAACTCGCACCAACCCTGTTTTAGAGGGGATGGAGTGCATCTTATACTCTGAAAAATATGGTACTTGGAACCTGACACATAGATCCCTGTAATTGGGGAGGGGGGAGTCCGTCATAAGTCGAGGACTTCCTGTACCAATACAGGGAATCGAACCTGTGTTGTTTTACCTGTAATGAAGCGACTGAGAGTAGAAGGTGTAATAGATGAAAACAGATGATCCCGTCAGGAAAAATAGCAGCCACATACATCGTAGCCTGGAGCACCTTTCCTGCAAGAGAAGACATTTAGAAAATGTAAGTCAATCGGTAGCCTCACAGGGCTAAACCAAGATGCAAAGGGAGTCACTTGATTCCATTGGACCGGGATGGTATAAGGAACCCTGCCTTGAGCAGGGGGTTGGACTAGAAGACCTCCAAAGTCCCTTCCAATTCTGTTATTCTGTTATAGTCTTCCAAAACAAACCATTTCAATAAAATTCTGAGCTCCACAACAACAAAATATTGATCTGAAACCTGAATTATTATTTCTTTTTTTTGGGGGGGGGGGGAGACTTTACCAGAAACGTACAGTAAAGAAAATGTATATTTGATAATTCACTTAATAACTGCAGCTGGGATTGTATTTGCACAAAATTGGACAAATGAAGCGATCCCTCTGGATGAGAAGGTGATGAGGAAAATATTAGAATGGGCAGAAATGAATAGGTTAACGCTTGAAATTAAAGAGAAGGAACAATCTGATTATTATGACATATGGGAAATATGGGTAGAGAATAAATATGAAAAGTGGAAAAAAGCAGAGGAGCGAAATAGAGAAAATGTTTTAACCGAGTTAAAGAAGAAGAAGATTGTTATAGTATTAGGTATGGTATGTATTAGGATTAGTATTAAGTTAAGAATAGATAAAATATTAGATATGGCTGAACATTGTAATTGTTATTGTATAAACCAGTGTTTCTCAACCTTGGTTTAAGTCCTGTGGACTTCAACTCCCAGAATCCCCCAGCCAGCATAGCTGGCTGGGGAATTCTGGGAGTTGAAGTCCACAGGATTTAAAGTCACCAAGATTGAGAAATACTGGTATAAACTATTTGCACAAAATGTTTGTACCCAGACGACACACTGTTTAATGGAAGATGTGGTTTCAATCAAAATTAAAAATTTAAAAATTAAAAACAACAAAAAGTCCTTGGAATGTTGTACTTCACAATATACAGGTGGACACAATTGAGCCCCGAATGTCTGCAGTCTAGCAAGGCAGTTTATAAGGGAGTTTTGCCCCATTTTCGTCCGTGGTTATTAAGTGATTCAGTACACCTATTAAATGAATCCCTGCGGTTGCTAAGCGAAGCGGATTGCCTTTGCTTGTCGGAGGCCAGCTGGAAAGTTTACAAGTGGTGAACACGTGGCCCAAGAACAATGCAACGGTCGTAAGTGCAAGCCAGTTTCCAAGCACCTGAATTTTGATCACATGACCATGGGGATGCTGCGATGGTTGTAAGAGTGAAAAACCAGCCGTAAGTCGCTTTTTTTCCGTGCTGGTACAATATCCCCTTTTGCAATCTTTGGACCAACAAAGTCAATGGGGAAATCAGATGAACTTAACAACCGTTTTATTAATTTAACAACTGTAGTGATGCACTTAACAACTGTGCCAAGAAAGATGCCACCAGTTACGTGGATCATATGGTGGACATGTACAGAAGCAAAAAAAAAAAAAAAATTGGATAAAAATACAAATGTGGCTGGAAAAGATGATAAAGCAGCACAATGACTTAAAACCAGAAAATATTTTTGTTGGAGATTTTGCCTGAAACTTAGGGAAAAGGGAATGCATATTTAATTATACACGTATTAACCGCAGCTAGAATTGTATTTGCACCAAACTGGAAAAGTCGAGAGGTCCCTACTTATGAGAATGTGATTGGGAAAATATTAGAATGTGCAGAAATGAATAGACGAACACTTGCCATAAAGGAGAAAGAACAAAGTGAATATTATCATACTTTTCGGAGTATAAGACGCACCAAGGTTTTGAAGAGGCAAATTTTTTTTTTAAAGTTTCTGCACTCTGCAGACCTCCCCAAAACAGCCCAGTTTTTTTTTTAAAAAAAAGGGGGAGGGGTCCTTAAATAGCCTTTAGGAGGCTTGTATAGTACTCCTACGGGATGGGGGGGGCAAAAACGAGCAAAAAATGGTCTAATTTTTGCTCATTTCTGCCCTCCCCAGCCCCCAGGAGCACTCTGAAAGCCTCCTAAAAGCTATAACAGCCATTTCGGTGAAGGGGGCAGGGTTTCAGGAGGCAAAAAAAATGCTGTATTCAGTGTATAAGACGCACCCAGATTTTCAGCCTCTTTTTTGAGGGAAAAAGGTGCATCTTATACTCCGAAAAATATATGACGTGGGAGCTATTTTATAAATG